TTTTTTTTTTTTTTTTTTTTTTTTTTTTTTTTTTTTTTAAATCTGCAATAAAAAATTGTTTCCAACTATTGAAGTGGCCGTTGGCTGTCAGAGCTGGTGGATTTGTGAATGGAGATCCTGATCCATCAGTTATATCACAAGAACTGGATTTCAGGGTGGGGCTTGCAAAGTTCTCTGCTGTGAAGGGGGTGAGTGCTTGTGCTAATCTTGTGCCAGGAATCAGGGTTTGGGCTCTCCCTTTCTATTGACACAGCAGGTTCCCAATCTTGGAAAAGTATGGTGCTAGATATACCCAGTGTTTTTCACCTGGGGGGCTGCTGTTTATTCTCTCATTGCTCTGTCTTTCCCCATCCTAGTCATCTCCATTGTGCAATTCAGCCAGCCAGCTTTGCAGGTGAACAGCTTCCAGCAGAGCTGATGCTGGTGCTACTGTGTGAACAGGTCTCATCTGCCTGGGATCAGTGCCTCAAGCCATGAAGGTGTATAACAGCTGCCCAGGAATGCTGACTGCTAAAGTACAGACACATGGAGAGATGGTAGCTGTAATAAGCCTGCCTATATTTAATCATGTGCAAATATACTCATTAAAATGATTTTCTCTTCCCCAATGTTCCCACCGTGGTCTATGATGTAAATTCATATTTAAGATAATCTTCTTAATCGGGGGTTGTAATGAAATAGCTGATGGAGCCTTAAAGGGTCAGATGGCTTATACCCAAAAGAGTTTTATTTATTTTTAAAAAAATCATAAATTTATATTAAATGTTGTAATTGCTGTTTGTATTGCAGTAGCACCTCGGAGGTCTAGTCATTGACCAGGACCCCATTGTGCTAGGTGCAGTACAAACACAGAGAACTTAGAATTGGAGTAGAAACTTTCTGATGAAAATTAAAACTAAGTTGTGACAGATGTGGTAATTTCCTGCAATATCCTGGACAAACCTAATTAAATTAAGTTTAAATATCTTAGGCGCTCATGGTATTAAAATGTGAATGTTTATGTATTATTGTGGGATTATATGTATGTTCTCTAAGGGGAAGATGTGACTAATGTAAACCTGGGAAGTGTTGTTGTTATAAACTTCAAAGGACTCTTTTAAACAGTAGTCCAGACCAGAAGGAATTTTTTAGTTGAGTGGGTTTTCTAGGAAATACTTGGGTGGAGGGCAATGCAAATGCCCATCTCTGGACTCATCCTTTTGAAGCAAAGAGAGGAACCCCATTGTATATGAATTACCTATTCCCAGGATCAAAGACCCAAGGCACTCACTCATTCATGAGGGTGCTTGTTCTGAGCTAACAGCTGTTACGGACTTGTGACCACAGGAAAAAAAAACCCTTGGTAGGGTTTGAAGGACTGCTCACCTGACATAGTCCTTGTGGGAGCTGGAGTGACCTCTGGTAAGCTTATTGGCAAGTCTGTTTAAGGGTTTTTCATTGTATTTAATGTTTTCTGTGTAATGCTTTTACCTTAAGAATAAATGTGCTTGCTTAGAAAGAGCGGTGTGGTAACTGAACTGTAGGTAATCATACTGTTTATAGCCTCTGAGGAAGGAAAGCAAACCAGGCCTGCTGAGGCAATCTCCATTGCTGGGGATA